TTTTTTTCATTTTTTTTATTTTTGATATATATCTAATCCAATACGATAATTCCGTTTAAAAAAGGGCGTATATATATACGGTGTACGTACGTAAGTGAATGAAAGAGAGAAAGAGAGAAAGAGAGAGAGAGAGAGAGAGAAAGGAAAATTAATTGAGCGCAACAGTTTCGAACTTTCGTAATGTCGAAAACGATATAATAAATTGTTAAACATAAATAATACGTACGTACACGCAAAACAAACACACATGCGCGTGCGCACATACTTTTTTTTCCCTTTATTTCCCTCGGCCCTGTTCTTTTTTTTTCTTTTTTCTTTTTTTTTTTTTTCTTTTTTTTTTTATGTGAAAAAGAAGCGAGATGAAAATAAACGAATAAAATAAAATTATTATCGTACAAGAGAAGATACCTAATAGAGAAAAATTCTAATTAGTTATTTTATAAAAGCATGATAAATATTTGAGAAACTATGAATGGTTTCGTTTATTTGTTCGTTCGTAATCTTGATTTTAAATCCAAAATAAAAGTTCTTTATAACACGCGTTCTTTCTGTCACTATGTATGTACATACCTATTGTATTTATATATGTATCGCAAAAGATTTTTATTTTCTATATATATATATAGATACACATATTACGAATTACGTTCAAATTGTGTCTTGAAATTAACAACAGAATTGCCATTAATTTATATATATATATATATATATATATATATATATATATATATGTGCGCTAAAATAATACTATACGTAAGTACATATAAATATTGTCTATTTCGAGATTATATTTCTTATATATTCTTTTCTTGACGTTCACAAAGGAAAAAAGAAAACGAAAGAATGAAAAAATGGAGAATAAAATGTACATCTACACCCACCCACACACACACACACATACACACACACGCAACCCACACAAAATCGTAAAATAATACTGTCTAAATTTTTGTCTATTTCTAGGTTATGTTTCTCAGTAGCTTTTCTTATCGTTTATAATATATATATTTATATATATATATATATATATATATATATATATATATATATATATATTTATATACATATACTTTTTATATATATATATATAATTTTTTATATATAGATTTTATTTATTTATATACATATATACATATATATATATAAAATCTTAAAATAGTACCATATAATTTTTTTTTCGTTTTTTATTTCGAGGTTATATTTCTCATGAACGATCCTTGACGTTTACCAACAACAAGAAAAAAAAAAAGAAAAGGAAAAAAGAAAAAAAAAAGAAAAAAGAAAAAAAAAGAAAAAGATAGAAGATAATACATACACAATCTTAAAATAGTACCATATATAAATTCTTGTCTATTTCGAGGTTATGTTTCTCTCTTTCTCTCTCTCTCTCTCTCTCATGGACTTTTCCGAACGTTCGTCAACGCGCACAGAAAAATAAAGGAAAGGAAAAAAAAGAAACTTAAAAAGAATCGAAAATGTATACAAAAAAATAAAAAAAAAAGAAAAAAAGGAAAGAAAAGAAAAAAGAAAAAAAAACGAAAGGAAGAAAATAATAACCATTACGCGAAATAAGATTCCAAGAAGAAATATGCCGAAGCGATAATACGTTTTTCGCATAGATTTATGGACGATCACTTTCTCTTTCGGACGAAAAAAAAAAAAAAGAGAGAAAGAGAATAAGAGAGAGAGAGAGAGAAAGAGAGAGAGAGAGAGAGAGAGAGAGAGAGAAAGGAATAACGAAAATAAAAATAAAAAAACAAAAATAAAAAGAATCTTTCACGAAAATAAACGAGGAAGGAGGGGGGGAGGGGGAGGGTTGAGATTGTTGTTGAAGAGATTAGATTAAGGAGCATAAAAAAGGCAAGATATAAAATAAGATATGACGTGGAGACAAAAAAAAAAAAAGAAAGAAAAAAAAAAGAAAAAAAAAGAACAAAAGCAAAGAAAAAGAAAGAGAATATTACGATTGGAAAAAAAAATAATACAGGTTGGTGTAATAAATTTGTTGGAAAATTTTTACTCACCGTTAAAACGAGGATAATCCGTGTGTTAAGGGCGAAGAACGGTGATTGAAGGAGGTCGAGAATGAGAGGATGACGAAGAAGTAGAAGAAGTAGTAGAAGAATAAGAAGAAGAACAACAACGAGAAGTAGAACAAGTAGATGGAACAAGATGATGATGATGATGATGATGATGACGATGATAATGATGATGACGGACGAAGAAAATCGCAGCGTAGTACCACCAGAACACACAGTTTTCACTACTTTCTTCTTCTTCTTCTTCTTCTTCTTCCTTCTTATTATCTTTTTCTTTTTTCTTTTTTTGATTTCTTTCCTTCTTCAGTTTTCCTTTTCTTTTCCTTCTTTTCCTTTCGTCCGACGAAAAGTTATATATCCACTTTTTAGAATTTCTTTCCCCTTTTTCTTTTTTTTCCTTCTTCTTCTTCTTTTCCTCTTTCTCTCTTTCTCTCACTCTCTCTCACTCTCTCACTCTCACTCCCGCTCTTATATATTTCCCTTTCTGTCTCTCTAAAAGTAGATCGTCTTTATATTATTTCACACTGTTCTCGTGGCACACCGGTTAATATGAAAAAAAAAGCAAAAAAAGGAAAAATAAAATAAAATAAAATAAAATAAATAAATGAATGAATCAAAATAAAAAAAAAAAAGAAATATAAAATATCCAATATCTATTTCTCCATTCTTTAAATATATATATACATATATATATACATATACATATACTTATATGTATATATATATATATATGCGTATATATAAAGGAAAAAAAAAAAAATGTTAAAAAAGATGGAGGAAAAGAGATTGGAGAAAAGTTCGTTTAATTCGTTTATCGAACACGATGTAAATAAATAAATAAGTAAGAATAAAGAATAAAAAAAAGAAAAAGAAAAAGGAAAAAAAAAAAGAAAGAACACGTCACGCGGTCACGTATTATTTTATTGGCTCTCACTTCACATACGTCGTGTCCCTTAACCCTTTTCAATCTCTCTTACGCATACACTCTTTATCTTTATCTATCTCCCTCCCTCTCTCTTTCTCTTTCACTCTCTGTGAGAAATCTATATTTCTATCCTCGTCGAACTTTACTTTCACTTCTTATAAGAACGAGGAAGAATACGATGATGATGATGATGATGATGAAGACAACGACGAAGGAGTAGTAATACAACGATAGCACACGCATTCACCAAAAACAACACAACACAACACCGCAAACAATTAAACATATGTATATATATATATATATATAAAGCCGGTCTGTATATATATATATATATATATATTTATATATGTATTTTGTGCGCGTGTATACACGTATACGGTATATAATACACGTTTAATCCGTGCGTATTATAATATTCTGAATTTTCTCTCTCTTGAAGAAGTAAATGACGATGATAATGATGACGATGACGATGAAGATGATGATGACGATGGTATAGCTTGATATTAATATTCCTTTTTTTTTATTTTATTTTTTATTTTTTTTTTTTTTTCTTAATCTCCGCGCTCACTTTGGAAAAACTTCTTATGTGTGTGTGTATCTGTCTTTCTTTCTTTCTCTTTCTCTTTCTCTCTCTCTCTCTCTCTCTCTCTCTCTCTCTCTCTCTCTCTCTCTCTCTCTCTCTCTTATTCAGGAGAACACGAATAGCGGCTCCTCTCGCACGTTACGCGTTCGACCGACCGACTGCTACTCTCCTCTCGTACTCGTACTCGTCGTTCGTTGGCCGTCAGCCCTGCCGCTGAAGCCGCCGCCGCCGCCGCCGCCACCACCACCACCACCACCGCCACCACCACCACCGCCGCCGTTGTTGCCGCCGCTACCGTCGTTGTCGGCGTCGTCGTTGTCGTCGTCGTCGTCGTCGTTGTCGTCACAACCATCACCATCACCATCACCATCACCATCACCACCACCATCACCACCACCACCACCTCCAACAACACCACCACCGCTGCCCGTTAATACCGTTGCCGTTGCCGTAGCCGTTGCCGTTGCTATTGGTACTGGTATACTAGTACTGCTTTCGTCAGGTTAGGTCGCCGGTCGCGCGCAGTAATACATCCGACACGCAACGAACGAACGAACGAACGAACGAACGAACGAACGAACGAACTCTTTCTCTCTCTCTCTTTCTCTCTCTCTCTCTCTCTCTCTCTCTCTTTTGTGTACGCGAACGATACTACCAACGGACGAGACGCGCAACGCCGCGGACCACGCACTACGCGCTACGTACGCACGCAGGCGCGATTTATGAAAAATGGTCGTACGTAAGTGCGTACGTACGTATGGATGTTGTATGTATGTATGTATGTATGTATAATAGAGATAGAGAGAGAGAGAGATAAATACGTTCTTCTCCTTGTGTCTGTATATTTATCTGTTTTTCTATCTCTTTCTCTCTCCTTTTTCTCAATCTCCGATCGTATAGATTTTATATAAAAAACGATATATATATATATATATATATATATATATTTCTACGAGACGAGGGAATGGACTTGACCGTTTTGTGGTTTTGTATCGTGTATGATGGAATAAAAGGAAGTAACGAAAGAAGCTACAAATTATTTTTATTATTATTATTATTATTACTATTGTTATTATTATTTCTTCAAGGAAATTCTCTTTCGAGATTAATATGATCAATATGAGCAATATATACGAACGTGTACGCGCACTTAACCTAATATTAATTATTTAATGATAATCATATGAAAATAATATGATAGATTGTCACGAATGAAAAAGATATACATATATACATATATATATATATATATATATATATATATATATATGTCCATATATCTATATAGCTATATACATCTGTACATATATATACATAAAATATAATATATATATATATATGTAGCAGTAGAAAATATTCGATAAGTACGAAACACGTTCTATTTATCTATATATCTATCTCTTTCTTTCTCGCACCCATAAAATCTATATCTATTTCTTTCTTTTTCTCTCTTTCTCTTTCTCTCTCCCTATCTATCTATCCTTCCGACCTTCCTTTGTTCCTCACGGCTCGGCCGCTGCTACGTGACTGACCGCTTCGTGCGCGCCCGTAAACCACGAGGTACGCCGAAGACGAACGAAGAGGGACCCAGTCTGTATATATACACATATAACATACATACATACACGTACATACGTACGGCGGTTCGTCGATCGGAAACGACCCTCGCCGACGAACACGACCGAGGGAGCCTTTCTTTGTTCGGCCGAGACTGAACGGCACGTCGGAGAACTCCTATACATACGAGTATAACCTTCTCTCTCTCTCTCTCTCTCTCTCTCTCTTTTTTCAAACACACACTGTTTTCTTTATAGATATATGTCCCTCCCTCCCTCCCTTAAAACTTATCTATCTTTCGAATTCTTCGTCTTCTCGTCTTTCGCACAAACTATATACGATTATTTCTTTTTCTTTCCTTCTTTCTTTCTTTCTTATTTTCCTACTTTATCTCTCTTTCTCTCTTTAATTTCTTACTTTATACTACTCTTCTAATCCTTCTATCCTCGTCTATTCTTCGGATATATCATTTTCTACATTGTTTTCGTATAAACGTCCTATCACACGATGTAACATATATACATACATATATATATATATATTTATATATATGTTATTCTTTCTCTCTTTTACTTTCATTCATTCATTCTTTCTTTCTTTCTTTATTTATTTATCTATTTATTTCGTCTTCGTTTTTCTGTAACTATAATATTATTCCTTCCTTTCTCCTCATACCTTTTCATATGCATACTATTTTCTCTCTCTCTCACACAATCTTTTTCCACCCCCTCCCACTCTTTCTCTCACACTCTCTCTCTCTCTCTCCTACTCTCTCTGAGATCTCGTCTCAAGATCTCAGATGCAAACGTTCGTACGATCTGTTAGTAACTGAAAGTCACATAGAGACGATACTCCAATATAATACATACATATATATGTATGTATGTATGCATGTATGTATGTAGCGGATACTGACTCGACGCGACGCGACGCGACGCGGCGTCCCGACGTCGGCGTCCCTCCTGCTACTCGTCGACGCGACGCGACGCGACGCGACACGACGCGACGCGACGCTACGCGAATCGAACTTGGAAGGGGTGGTCTTCGAACGAACGCAACAACCACCACCATCAACATTACCATCACTACCAATACACTACCTACCACCACCACCACCACCACTACTACTACTACTACCACTACTACTACTACTACTACTATACTACTACTACCACCGTTATTACTACTACTACACTACTATTACTATATCTCCCCTTCACCCTCTCTAGTCACTACGACGACTCTCTGTAATACCAGACTCCCTCGAATATCACCCCCTCGAGATTCGAAGGGTGAATTGCAACGGGTGTTCGAATTGCTTCCAGACCACTTTTTTCTCTTTCCTTTATTTCTTTATTTTATTTCTTTTTTCTCGTTTTTCTTTTTTCTTTTCTTTATTTCTTTTTTTTTTCTTTTTGTATTTCTTTTTTCTTTTTTTTTTTTTTCACACATAAAGCTATCGTCTTCTCGTCTCGGCTCTTTTTTTTCGTCCTTTCTCTTTTCTACATTCTTCTGACGTTTCTTTTTTTTCTCTCCTTTTTTCTTTCTTTTGTTTTTCTTTTTTTTTCTTTTTTTTTTTTTTTTTTTTTTTTTTTTTTTGGAGTTTTTTCGATCCATAAAGTCAATCGTGTCGGAAACAATCGCGTAGTATTATTTTTGTCGATCGAAAGTGCAGACATATGTTTAAAAAAATATTTCATTATATATAACGTTGGATAAAGAGAGAGAGAGAGAGAGAGAGAGAGAGAGAGAACGGGGGGGTATTTTTCTAAGGAGAGTGAATTTTTTCTTTTTTCCTTTTCTTTCATTTTTTTCTTCTTCTTCATTTAAAATTCAAATTCCAAAACCATTTAGAATTTTTTTTACGTCATTTTTATGAAAGTAATTATATGCGAAGAGTAAATTATTACAGAGAATTCGTGGAAATACGATTTTGAAGCAGGGTTGGAGGAGGAAATATATAAAAAAAAGAAAAAAAAGAAAGAAAAATTTATAAAAAATATTCGACTCCTATTTTTCTTTTTTCCATTTCTTCAGAGAAAAGGAAGAAAAAAAAGTTGTACATTTCTTCTCTCCCTTCAATCCTCCCCCTCCCTCCCTCCCTCCCTCCCTCCCTCCCTCGTCCTCACCCTCAACCTCCAAATCGCATATTATTCATATAAATGTTCCTCTATCATTGTCACATATATTCCAATTCTATAACATATTTCTCTGATGTTGGCAAAATGGACTCGTTAAAATGATTATTTGATCAGACAGAGAAAGAGAAAAAAAGAGAGAGAGAAAGAGAAAGAAAGAGAAAGAAAGAAAAAAAGAAAGAAAAAGAAAGAAAGAAAGAAAGAAAGAGAGAGACTTCTTTCTAGAAACATAGAAATCGATTATAATAGTAGATATATATAGCGTACCTTCCTATAAACGTACGTAATAGGCGAGAGACAAATAACGGTGGTGTT